CCCCCTGATGGACAGTGGCCTTTGGGGCAAGAGAGCATCCCCCGGGGTTAAAGCCCGGGAAGGAGGATGTGACAGGGGGTAGCTTGTGGGAGTGGAAAGTGCCCTGCGCTATGCATCAAAGTTCCCAGACTCCAGCCTGAGTGTTGCCTTTACTGACTGTGAGCGAGTGATTGATTTTCCCTATTTCAGTGTCTAGTTCCTCTTCTGTACAATGGATCAAACGTTCTGTTGATGGTGCTGCAGTGATTAATCTGGGAATCTTCATGAATCAGTTCAGAAAAAGAGAAGCCCTTCACTGTGTAGGGTTGGATTGGGCACTGAACGTTGCTGAAGTTGTGTTGGGAAATATGTTTCAGTGCGCAATTTCCATAGAGAGAATTTCCACTGATAACACTCAGAGAGCATGTGAAGTTCCCAGGATCCATGCACGTGGAGGCATGTGGGACAGGGTCGTTTTCCTCTTCTTTCACAAAGCAGAGGATCTCTATGAGAGCCGTGAAAGGGTGTACAGCCTGTGTCTAGGGAGAACTTTTTGGCCGGATAGATGAATGTGTTGTAGAGGTTGAGATGGGAGGTGGACACTTGTACAGTGGTATAGGGAACAAAGACCATTTAAATGTTGACCCCATGTCAGGTAGAGGGGACGGGATTGTCATCCAGCTGTTTGGTGTCACACTGAACGATGGATCAGACATCTGGACCAGGCCAATTATTTAAAGACATTGCATTGGAACTTGAGCACAGCAGTGACTCATACAAAAATATTTATGTTCCCATGGCCATATATAGCCATTCTGATTGCAGTCTGTGAACTGGGGAAAAGCTGACTGGATATTTGTGAATTTGTTCGCAGAAGTTGATGAAGATGAGGAATATAAACTGGAAGAAGAAACACTCACCCCCAGGTAACCATGAAGTCTTAGGCACCGGTAATGGGTAGGTGAGCTACGGAGAGGGTAGAAGAAAGATGAAGACATGAGGGCAAGACAGTGTCATGTAGCAGATGTGAGAAACGCAAGCCTGCAGATTGCATTGATTGATTTCAATCACCCAGCATGGAAGCGGCCCTTTCACTTGGTTGTCTGCTGTCTCTGTGGCCCTTGTAGCTACGGCCCAAGAGAATGTACCACCTTTAGGGTTTCCTGCGCACACAGAGACTATGGATACTCTCCTAAATGAACACTAAGATGAGATAAATAAGTAC